GCGGGTTTCCTCGAGCGGGGCCGTGCTGGTCTCTGCGCCGCCTCGAGCCCAGGAAGACGTTTGTCAAAGCATTTTCCTTGGCGTGTGAACAGGGAACAAACTCTGAGTGGGGAAGATGTGTGAATCCAGTCTGCCATCCCACTGCCTTTAGAGAAAGGGGCTCTCGGCAGCCGCTTTCCCTGGCTTCATCCCTGCTCCTTCTCCTTGCTCCCCCTTGGTTCTGCTGGGTGAGTTGCCCTCCGCAGAGGCAGACTGCCTGCCTTCCTCCCGCTCCTTCTGGGTGATTAACTGTGAGAGGAGAGAGAGGGCAGGAGACACCAGGAATGCAGGAGGTTCAACCCTTTCTGCTTTGGTCGCTGTTGCTGAAAAGGCTCCTCTGTCCAGGTGGGTGGCAGAGAGCCCTCTCCTCCCGGGTTGCCTTTGTCCGGCAGTGTGCTGCTTTGCTCCTGCCCCGGGATCCACCCTCCTACCTGGTGCCAGGTGAACCAGCCTCTCAGCGTTGATCTGTTGTTTCTCTGCAAAGAAAGGAAAGGAAAAGTTTGGTTTGTGAGCTTAAAAGTAAACCAGAAACCCTGGTTTTAAAGGTGCTTTGCTTCTCCTCAGGGAGGGAGGGGAAGAGCAGAGAAAGAGACTTAACACTCAGCAGCAGACGATGTCCCCATCGCACGACAGCTTGGTGAGCAGCTGTGAAAAAGCCTCACATGTGGCTGCCTTCTGCTTCTGCGTGCAGGAAACCTTACACAGAAGGGCTGGTATGCCCCTTTTTGAGGGGGCTGGCTGTTATCCTTGTCAAGGTGCTTGGCATTGTGCTCCCTAGGGAAGGGCAAATGCTGTTCCTGTTGTAGAAGTTTGGGGAAACTGAGGCCTGAGGGCAAGAAGTGCCTGTTGTCACGCAGCTTTTTGGACAAGCCACCCCTTGTCTGACCATGAAAGGTCTCCCCGTCACAAGATGCTGGATCCCACTGGGCTGGACAGGCTGTTGCCAGCTCACTTACGTGTGATGTGTAAATGCTGCTGTTAGACCAGGATCTCCCAGTTAGGACACGGGTGCCTGACTGACTCCTTCCATGTCAGGATGAAGTTACAGAACACCAGACCCAAACCAGTCCTCCTGCATAGTCTGCCAGATAAATTGTCCTAGACAAGATTAGCGGCTTAAATGAAGTGTTTGGTCTTGCTGCTGGGAATGTTATTTAGAGCCAGACTGTTACCTGCAAAACTCCAGGGAACATCTCATTGTCTTTAAAAATAATAATAATAATCCCATCTACTGAATCTGTCTCTGCTGGGTGTTCGTGAAGTGCGAGCAGGTCAGCAGAGGAAGGTGACAACACCAGGGCAGGGCTTTGGGCACCGTTCGGATGCAAGTCCAGACCTGGCGTTTCCTTCTGAGCTGGCGCGGGGCAGCAGCGACGCTCCCTGCCAGCAGCGGGTCCGCCGGGCGGGTTTGCTCCCGCCTCGGCGAGGGGCCCGGGCACAGGTGTGGTCATGGTGCTCGCAGCGCCGGCGTTCCGGGTTATCGGGAGGCAGGGAGGGCCCTGGAACCAAACCCGCGGGTGGACCTGCAGCTCGGTTCCACCTCTGCTTGCCTGCAAACTACTTAAGCAGCTTTTCCTGGGTGCCGCAGCGGGGCTGGGCTGGCTTCGGGAGCACACGGATCACCTGTCGCTGCTCCGCGTGGAGGAGGTGAGTCCTGGCTCCTGGGAGCCTCCCGAGTCTTCCTTCTCCATCCCTCTGCCCCTGTCCTGGCGCATCAACAGTTCGGGTGGTTTTCCTAGCTCACGCTGGCATTTCTTTCTGGCTAACCCAAGTTGTCTCTCTATATTCTGTGAACAAAATAAAAAAAAAAAAAAAGTAATTGATGGGTATTGGCACAAAATGCAATTTAAACAGCAAAAGGTTTATAATCTGTTGCAACTACATCTGCAGCTTGGTTGCTGTTGATGGCTTCTCGTCTCTGGCTGTACATGGGGATTGCTTCTGGGTACAGCAGGGTTTATTTTTTTGTTAAAGCTTTCTGAGGGTGTGGAGGGGGGAAGAGAGGGGTCTTTTCTTACCTACTGATAGGAAATTCAGCCTCTCTGCCTCAAAACTGCAGTCGAGGAGATGGATAAATTCCTGCTTCCTTCCCAGTGCTAGAGATGTCATTGCAATAAAAGGGAAGAAAACCTTTTATTTTCTCAGTGCTTGTGTGTGCAAGAGACATCTTTTACTTCATGTTTGGGGTTTACCTTGCAATAAGTCCCCCCCTGTGAGTCCTCCAGACCCTGGACTGCAGCAGACAGTGGACGTTACATCTCCCTTCCAGGTCTAGCCTAGAGTGATGGTGTCTCACTTAATTTTGGCTTGTGACTCCTCTTCCTCCAGCGAACAGCACCGAGGCTTGTGCTGCTGGAGCTGTAGGGCTGCAGCTGAAATTCCTACCCCAGGGCTGTCAGCCAGCTGGGCACCCGTCAGGAACGAACAAGGCTGAGACATCCTGTGTCTAGCCCACATCTGAGAAAGGTGGTTGCTGCCCCCAGTCGCTTCCTTGCAGATAGAGTGCGTCTGAAGTAACGCTGAGCATAGCTGGGACCTCCGAGTGTTCCTTTGAAGCCGTGTCTCGTGATGAAAGGGAAACTGTTGCTGCTCCCCCTCTGCCGTTAGCTTGCTGTTTGACCTTGGGCAAATCATTTCAGTCTTCGCAGTTGTTAAAAGGAGATATCTGTTGTGACAGTCGGGTCTGAGGGAGTGTGGAGGGGGAAGGTGAGGGATTCTGGAAGGAAAATAATCCGTACTTACTGTCTGTAATTGGCAGCCTGTCCGCTGCGCAGCTCGGGAGTGGTGCCTCTCCTCCGCAGCGGCGAGAGGCGGAGAGCGATGCTGCGTCTTTGTAAAACCACATCGCCACACTCCCAGCTTCACCCGGTCGTCTCCGTGTGGGTTACGTGGCTGATGGCGAGAGGCGAAGAAAGAGAAAAGGGAGAAAGCAGAAACTGTCCCAACTGACCCTGTCTGCTGACACTTGTACAGCGATGGAGGCCAAAGGCATGTTCTCTGTGAAGTTAGGGAACGCTAATTTGTACCGTGTTTGGTGCTAACGTGGAGTTTTATCTCTGCCCAGTGTAGCTGTGGCAAGGCTACGGTCCAGCACACTGCTGGTTAAAAATACATGCTTTACATCCTGCTTGGCCCTCTGAGAAGCAGCTGTTCAGCTCTGTGAGGTCTGACCAGCTCCACCACGTGTGGCCTCCAGCACCGGTCACCTCGGCGTGCTGAGGAGGGAGGCAAGTGTTGGTCTGGAGATGTTTGCTGTAGGAGTATTTTCCTCTCCACTGTAATCAGGGAAAAGAATTTAGAGGGAGTCCAGCCTGCAATACTGAATTTTTACCCCATTTCTTTTAATGAGTTCACTTTCTGCAGCTCAGTAAGGGAAACTCTGTACCAGCTGGCTGCTCTGGCATGGAGGGGGTGTACGGGCAGGCAGGGATGCAGTCACAGCTTCCCTGCAGCCAGGGAGGGAGCGAGCGGAGAGAAACTCCTCTGCCTGCGTGTCTCACGTGCCGTTCAGTCTCCTTCCTCTAAAGGACCCAAAGCACCTGGGGGCTGCGCTGCGGTGGGACAGGAGGCAGAAGCTTCTGTGCACGTTGGGAGCACAATGCACCGTCCAGAAACGGGTCGTAAGCTGAAGCATGTTCAGGCTAGTGGGACCTGTTACACCTTGTTCCCATGGAGAAACTTGGTGGTGGCTCATTTAGAGTGAGAAGTCAGAGCACATGAATCCTGAGAATTAGGCAGCAATTTGTTTTACACCGGAATCAATGTCTGTGCAGGAGCTTAATGTCTTGCTAACCTGTTGTACCTTTCCCAGTGTAGCTACTGACCATCTTCCTGAGATGCTTTTAGCAAAACAGCAGTTTGGTGGACTAGGTGCTGGTAACCTTGCAGGATTTCTTTCGTCTGTAGGCTGACACAGTGGCAGGCTCAGCTCATAACAAGTTTCTGAGAAGCATCTGCTTACTCTTGCCTTAGCTGCTTAGCCCCTGTCCTGCTCTGGTGGCCTCTCCCCTCTGAAGAAGGCTGGAGAGGGGGAACATGTTACATGGCAAATAAATGACTCAGACTAATGAGTAAGGTAATTGCTGTTCACTGTTAGACGAGGCTAAAGTGGGTCAGGTTTGTTTGTGAAACTCCACAGAGGCACCATCTGTTCTCTGTGTCCCGTCTCAGGGGCTGGAGACAGGATTTGGGTGAAATTGCTTCCCTGGGAGCCTGCAAGGCAGCACAGAGGATGCCCCGGTCATTAGGCAGAGCCACGGGTCTCTGGAGATAACCCCGTGTGACTGCAGGCGAGTGCCTGCAGCCCTGATCCTCAAAGGGGCCTCTTAATTGATTTCACTGGGAGAGGGGACCCTAAATCCTTTGTCTCTGCTACAACTGCCCATCTAAGATGAGGCTGGACAGGACACCGAGAGGTTATTAGACCTCCCTTAGCCCAAAGGCAGGATTGGATTTTCCCAAACCACGTCTGACAGGTGCCTGTCTCACCTGTCACAAGCCCTTGGAGAGAAACCTGGCACCAGTGTGGTTCATGTCTTTTAACCCCGCTGCTCTCCCAGATGTCCTCCCTTCTTCTTCCCATGCCTGCAGGCCTGTTGGGATGGGAACTGTCTCTTTCAGTGACGATGTGCCTGTGCGGTACCTGGTTTGAGCCCTTTCCCCTACCCTGGACCCCGCTGTGTCTAACAAGCCCTTTCTTCTCTCAAACCACAGCATGTGAGCAGAACGGGAAGCCAGGAGTGGGATCCCTGCCTGCCCACGCCCGGACTCGACATTGCTGGGGCCGCATCTTGCAATAAAAGGAAGAGGAAAAGACGGTTCGTTCACCGTTGCTAAAAATGGGAGACAGCATCTGTCCAGCAGACCAGGAAGGGAAGCTCCAGACCTTGCTGGTGGGACATCCCTGGCAGTGCCGCAGCCGGAGCGCCGCAGCCCTCTGTCAGTAAGGGTGTGGGGGCAGCATGGCTCAGAGAGCCTGGGTCAGCATGCTCTTCCACAGCCGCAAGACTCAGCTCCTGCTGGTCAACTCCCTGACGTTCGGCCTGGAGGTCTGCCTGGCTGCAGGGATAACCTATGTGCCTCCGCTGCTGCTGGAAGTGGGTGTGGAGGAGAAGTTCATGACCATGGTTTTGGGTAGGTGGTTTTTCTCTTGTCTTTGAGGTGCTTGTTTCCTCTTCGAGCTTGGAGGGCAGGGGCAAATAAGGGCACAGAAGCTTGTCTCTGCAGGGCTACTGTTGTATCAAGGGCAGCCTTGTGTTTGGAGGAGCGGGCTGTGACCCAGTGAAGCTTACTGAGTTCCTGAAACATCCCATGCTTTCATACAGTGCACACAGACCAGTATCTTCCATATCTGTCCCCTTCCACCACCTCTTTCTCTTTTCCAGGGATAGGACCTGTCCTTGGCTTGGTTTTTGTCCCGCTGATCGGATCTGCCAGTGACCACTGGCACAGCAGCTATGGCCGAAGGCGACCGTTTATCTGGATGCTTTGTCTGGGAGTCCTGCTGAGCCTCTTCGTGATCCCACATGCCAGCAGCCTGGCCAGCCTGTTTGCTCTCAACACTCGCCCGCTGGAGATTGCCTTCCTCATCCTGGGCATCGGGTTGCTGGATTTCTGCGGCCAGGTCTGCTTCACGCCGCTGGAGGCCCTGCTCTCAGACCTCTTCCAGGAGCCAGACAACTGCCGCCAGGCCTTCTCCATGTACGCCTTCATGATCAGCTTGGGGGGCTGCATTGGCTACCTCCTTCCAGCTATTGACTGGGGCGGCAGCTTTCTGGCCCCGTACTTGGGAGGGCAGATGACGTGCCTCTTCAGCCTCCTTGCTGTCATCTTCCTCAGCTGTGTGCTGGCCACGCTCTTTGTGACAGAGGAGGCAGCCACCCAGGCAGATGTTCTGGATGGCCCGGCGCTGAAGGACGCTCCCCCTAAGCCCTCACCTCCTGCCTGCTGCTCTTGCCAGCTCTCCAGGAGCTCGTGTCTCCTGCAGGCCAGGCACATGACGCAAGCCCTGAGAAACCTCTGCACGCTGGTGCCACGGCTTCACATCCCCAAGGTCATCCGGCGCCTGTTTGTGGCCGAGCTCTGCAGCTGGATGGCACTGATGACTTTCATGCTGTTCTACACAGACTTTGTTGGGGAAGGACTATACCACGGTGTCCCCAGAGCCAAGCCGGGCACGGATGCCAGACGCCACTACGATGAAGGTGAGAAGTGAACCAGCTGCTCTGAGGCTGCAGCACCCGTTCTGTAGGACAGGAGTGTTTAGTGAGAGCTGGGAATGGGCTCAGCTCTGCTAGTAATGCAAAAAAAAAGTTACAGGAAACTAGACTTTCTGCAGATGGGTCAGGAAAAAGCATTCCCCCGTGACCCCCAGAGCATCGTCTCTTTCTCCTCTGAGCCACCAAGCACAAACTAGGTCTGGCAGAGCAGCCCTGGCCTGGGGCTGAATCGTTCAGTGGCAGAACAGTCTGGCAGGTTGCGTGCTGGACAGGACCTCTCCAGCTCTGTCTGCAAGCTGTGGTTGCTGCTGCCAAGTCCTTTCACTGCTCTTCCCTCCTTTTCAAATGAGGGGCGATGGTGCTCCCCATCTCTTGGAGAGCAGGGGTTGGAAATCCAGGACATGCTCAGTAGCAGCTTTACTGCTTCTCCCTTTCATGGTACTGTGAGATTCCCGTCTCACATCTGTGTCTGGGAAGCTCTTGTGCAGTTTTCCCAGTTCTCACCCCTCTCTCCAGAGCTTTCTGATGGTGCTGACCACTGCAGTCAGTAGGTGCCGTGTCCACATCATGGGATGCTGCTCACTGCAGCACAGTACCTGCTTACTGTTGTTGCCTGCTGTCCCATTTTGCCTGCTGTGTCGTGCCAGAGCCTTGACTCGCTGCCCAGCCCTTCTTTTCCTCTCCTTGGTCTAAGTCTTTTATTCTTGGAGGCACCTCCCTGGGCCTCCTCTTCCAGCTGTATATCCTGCCCTCTGAGTTTTCCGTTCGCTGCCTCCGTGAGCTCTGCAGTACACTGCCTCTTTGTGCTGAGTGTCTGTTTAACTTAGAGGGAGCTTAATTATTATTTAACACTTGCACTGTATAGCTTTCAGCAGGTCAGGCCTCCATTGTGCTAGCTGTCACAGAAACATGTGTTGAGTAATGATCCTTGTTCCAAAGAGTTAATGGTTTTAATTCCCTGAAATCTGATAGATCTTTAAAAAGGGTAAGGTCCGGATTGCTACCGGATACTGCAGGATACCGCAGCCGTTTAGTGGATGTTGTGTACTTTGCCTTGGCTTAAGCACAATGCCTTGTTCCTTTTGTTCTGGTGCTGGTTTTGGCATCGGATAACAACAGATCCTGGTTCATGAGCAGGTGATAGATCCTGGGTCAAGAGTAGAAAGGTGCAAACAACGAACAAGGACTTCTAAAGACAAGAATGGCATTTGGATACCCATCTCCCACTGCCTCTCTGGTTAGACTGGGCTGCCCAGGAGCACATGTAGGAAACACTCGCTGCTGGTGGAGGGTGGGAGCTGCAGTGTGGCTGGTGCAACCCTGGGATGCATTAAGGGATGCTGCTCTGCTTCCTGACCCAGTGTGTGGTTGTCAGGGCTGTTTGCGGCTGTGCCACACGCTGCGCGGGCTGTACCGAGTTGAGCACTGATGGAGAGGGAAGGAGGCCCAAAGGTGTTTGGCTGTGTGAAGCCTGAGTGCAGTCAGGGCAGTGTCTGTCACCACCTCTGCTTACCTGCAGGTGTCCGGATGGGTAGTTTGGGCCTCTTCCTGCAGTGCGTCACATCCATCTTCTTTTCGACAATCATGGATCGGCTGGTGAAGCAGTTTGGGACGCGGGCGGTCTACCTGGCCAGCGTGGTGTTCTTCCCCGTGGCTGCCTCCGTCATGTGCCTTTCCCACAGTGTCATCGTTGTTACCATCTCAGCTGCTCTCACGGGCTTCACCTTCTCTGCACTCCAGATCCTGCCATACACACTGGCATCACTGTATCATCATGAAAAACAGGTAGGGATCTGCTCCAGAGGGTGATGTGCCAGGTAGCTGTGAGGACAGCTCAGCCAGCCTCTTTTGCCACTTGTAGCTGGTAGAATCAGTTCAGCCTGTGGAAGAGAAACACCTGCCCATGTGCAAAGGTTTTCCACATGTGCTTCTTGTCTCCAGGCTGTGTCTTCTCTGAAGATTCATCTGAAATGGAGGAGATGAGAGTTTAGCATCTCCTTCCTTAGGCATTCCCTGCTCACAACAAGCATTACACAATTTTAAAAAGCAGTGAGTGGGTAAGATGGGAGATACCAGCTAGGATTGGTGTATCAAATGGGATGTCCTATGTCCCTCCATGTTCTGCATATTTTTAGGGAATCTGGTGCAGGTTAGTTATACCTGTGTGCATTCTGCAAGCAAGTCACACCTGCAGCACCACCAACCTGAGGTGCTAAAAAGCTCAAAGATTTTCAGCCCTTAGAGATCCTGCTTTCCAATTTTTGTCCATAGCATGAAGATCAGTAAAATGAAAACTGAGGTTCTTCCTATTCCCCTAGCTCCAAGGAACATAAATGTTGTGAAACTTTTGACACCATCACAAAAGCTAGTCGTCCTGTCCCACAGATGTTATCCTTGTGGAGAAGTCCTAGGAGGTTCCTGAGTTGCACACTGGATTAATAGGAGTTTCTCTTGTGCTGCAAATGCGAAATTAATTTGTGGTTTGAGAGCAGCTCTTTCATCCCAATAGCCGGCGGTTCACTGTGCAGTGAAATAAGTAGGAGTTTTTACCACAGGCATCCAGATGTTCACATGGAACAAATACTTCTGACCAACCCATCCCAATTTGCACCAGGCACCCTGTCAAAGTAGGGCTACGTGGGAGTGTTCTGCTTTGCAAAAACTTCAGTTTGACTGGGATCTCCCATGGACATAATATCAACAGAATGGAAACCAAACTCCCCAGCCTGGGAATGTGAAGGCCACGTGCCCGGCTGTTTGCCAAAGGCGGCTTGAGGGGGAAACACTCTTTGTGCGATGAGGTGTGGGGTGTAGCTGGGTTCGGTCTCTCTGTTGCCCTCACTTGAAAGTTCCTCCTTCCTTTACCAACTGCTTTGGTAGCTTTGGCAGGCTGCAGGGACACCCCACACGCAGCACTCCCTGAAGTGCCTTTTGCAGAAAATTCTCCAACTGCCCCATTTCTGTTCTCTTCTTTTTTCTTACTGTTGAAATCTCTCATCGTTTTTGTTTGCCTTCCCTCGTTCCTGCTTCCTCTCTTTTTTTACCTTTTTTTAAAAAACTTTAAACACTCCTTCCAGAGTAAATCAGCGGAAGGGGCATCCAAAGTGGCTGGGGGTTGGATGGTTGGCAAAAGCCTGCAAGGCCACCTCGGCTGGAGCTCCTTGCTTTGCACAGGCTGTGGAAGTCGCTCTGCTCTCCTGCATGCCCTCTCACCTTCGCATGGCCACTAAACCTTGTCTAGAGCAGGAGGAAAAGATCTGCGTGTTCTCTCAGCACCTGAAAGCTTGGTAGAGGTGAGATGCATGGCAGGTGCTCACATCTTCCGCAGATTAGGGAGAGCTAGGTTCCTCATTGCACCGCTCCCCATCAACTGTAGAGGGAGATGAAGCTGCTGGTGGAGGCACTGGTGGGTCCTGTGTTTGTGTCGTGCGTTATAAGGGGTCATTTTAAAGCACAGGTTCTCACGAAGCTCATTCCTGTAAGTATGTCTTTAAGTTGTTTTCTCTAGATTTAGATTAATTCTCTACACTAGATATTCAGACACCCTTGACAGAATTCATATCTCTGCATAGCCTGGATCAGTACAGGAACCAAGAAATGTGGCATGAGCCTTCAGGGCAGCTGAGCAGACCTCTGGGAACATTGGTGTCAAATATGAAGGGCTGGACCTGGGGGGAACATGCTAGTTTGGTTCACACAATGCCCTTTCTGTGCTGGGTTTGAGTTGTTTTGGAGTCTGATGGCAATAGGAGGCATGAAGGAAGATTTTGAGCTCCTCATAAGATAAGTAACAGTCCTGGACTGATGCATCTAAGCATAAATTCACAAGCCTCGGCAGAATTGAGGAGTTTGCAGGGTACAGTGAGCAGCTGAGCAGAGCCCAGGTAAAGCTTTTGGAAGATCATCGCTGTTCAGTGAAGTTCTCATCTGGTTTCTCTCCTCTGATTGAATCTGAAACTGTTTGTGCTACAGATCTGCAGCGGTGGCCTGGGGCAGCGTGAACAGAGACTGGCTGGAGCTGACATGCACTAGGGCAGGGCTGGGTGCAGCTGAGTGGGTGCCAAGACTGCTCAAAGCTTTGGGATGGCCTGCAATAGAGCTGGAGTGCCCACGCTCCTGCAGCAGTGGTTCCCTCCCCTTGATCTGTGTCCAGGTCCCTCCTGCGAAAGGAAGGACAGTTGAGGCAGGTCCCTCTGAGCCCTGCAGTGCTCTCTGCTCTCAAACAGGTGCTGTTTTTTCTGTTGTATTTTCTTTGTTTGTTCAATCTCGCCATGCAGATAATGGATTAACGTGTCCTTCGTTATCTGCTCTACCCCATGCAGACCAGTGGCTGGGCATAATTGCAAATGCCCCGGAGTTTTGAAGCTGGAGCTTTGCAGTATTTTTGCTGTCTGCACACGACTGCCCGTTAGTCGGTGTTAATGTGGAGAGCTTTTTGATCCAAATGCTCTGTGTGAATACTGCTCGAGTGAGCCATGCCCCAGAGATCTCACAGCTTTGGCAGAGCGAGGCAAAAAAGGGTGAAAAGAAAAAGATTTTGCTTCCCCCCACGCCCCTTTTCTAGCCTGAGCGAGGAGGCTCAGGTCAGGCAGATGAAGCAACTCAGTTGAGGTCAGGCATGCATGGTCTGTGCAGAGCTGAGAAAAGAGCTCTTTCCTGAGTTCCCAGCACTGTGCCATCTCAGCTGGTGTCACTTAGGTATCCCAGATACTGAGAAGTGGCCGTGCTTCCAGGGCTCCGAACTGTTGGTCTGCCCTTTGAGCTCTTCTGCAGGAAGGTTTTTGAGTTCCCAGTCAGCCACTTTATGCACACTTCTGTTTGCACTGGAGTGGACTGTCTGGCTTTGTGATACATCCACAGTGGGCTCTGGCCCTTCACTCCTGTCCTGCAAGTGTGCATCAGCTTATTTCAGGATGGGGTGAGCTGCAGCTGGTGCCCACATTCCCTTGGCACCCGGTGAGGAGGTGCCAACCCAGGGCTCAGTGAAAAATGTCCCCAGGCAGAGCCTGGGCTGGCTTTGGGCTGCAGCGGGCTGCTGAGCCCCAGAGCTTGAGCACAACAAAGGCACCACTTGGCCACATTCCCCCGGTGAGTCAGGGTTGCTTTGAATCCTGTGCCAGTCGGGAAAAGCCAGGCTGGCTCCTGGAGGCCATCCCACGTGGGCCAGGCTCTCCGCAGGCACTCCCCACCTCCAGCAGCCTGCCCCGCCGCACACAAAGCACAGAGTGGTTTTGGTCTCTTGCACAAAAACTGGGGCCGCTCTGCCCCCCACGTCGCTCGGCGGGCTCCACCTGCCTGCCCATTCCTCACATGCCTTCCTTCTTTCCCCTAGGTATTTTTGCATAAATATAAGAGCAAAGAGGAGGAAGATGCAGCTCGATTGGACAAGAAATCCACCTTCTCTAAAGGCCTCCTTTCCAGCCAGAAGCTGCCTTACCAGAATGGACATGCTGGGAGCCTCTTCTCTTCTTCTTCCTCCTCCTCCTCTCCTCCAGCCGCCAGCTCGGCTCTGTGCGTCAGCTCCTCCTGCGACGTCTCGCTCATGATGATGGTGGGAGAACCAGACTCGGTGGCTCCTGGCCGAGGGATCTGCCTGGACTTGGCTATTTTGGACAGTGCTTTCCTCCTCTCTCAGGTTGTCCCCTCCCTCTTCATGGGGTCCATCGTCCAGTTTACGCAGTCGGTGACTGCCTACATGGTGTCAGCTGCTGGCTTTGGCCTCGTAGCCATTTACTTTGCAACCAAAGTTGTCTTTGATAAGAGTGACATGGTGAAGTATTCAGTGTGATGTGGAAGGCACAAGGGCAGTATGCAGGTGCCTGCACATGGCAAGCCAAGACGTGTGTGTGTGTTCACACGGCCGCTGTGGGAAGCCTCGTGTGGCACCTGCGCTCCTCATCCTGTTGCTGTAGCCCTGGGGGGGCAGTTCTGGGGCTGGGGGCAGGAGAGATGCAGCAGGGCTAATCTCAGGTGTAAATATGAGGCATCGGGGCATCGTGCTTTGGGCCACCAGTGCTTTCCAAAGGTGCCTTTATCAAAAGAAAGCACTGCACAGCCAGCACCAAAGGGGGTTATGCAGGGGAGAGAAGGGAAATAGACTTTTCCTTTAATAACGGGTCATGTTTCTGTGTAATTCTACCTAAACTGAGCAGGAGAGGCAGTGATACGGGGAGGGGAGGGAAGAAATCGTTGGCTCTCCTGTTTTCCAGTTATAGCTGTATGCTCTTTGTCTGCTTGTTGTCGTTTTACTCAACTTCTTGAGCAATACTTCTGCAAATGGGACACTGGGAGGAGATTTCCTTGGAAAAAAGAGATGTGTGGCTGAGGTTTGGCCATGGAGCAAAGGGGGTGCGTATGTGTGCATGCACGCTTCCGTCCTTCCCACCTCTGATCTAACTGGGAGAAACCATTTAGGAGAAAAGTTACTACGTCTTGTTTTGGAAAAACAAGTAACGTTTCGTTAGGACCAATTCCAAAAGGTGACGTGTCTTTTACCTGTGTACCAAGTTGCATCAGATGAAAAGGACTTCTGAACTTTTTTTTTTTTAATTACTGTTCTTGGCTTTCCTCACACGGTGCTCAGTAGCTCTGATCTCTCACTCCTCAGCACTCGGAACTGCTCCTGCTCTCCCCCCCAACAGATCTGGATGGATGTGCCTCTTCCACCACTGGCCCCTCAAAGCTGCAGCCGTATCACAAGGAAGATCTGTTCTCAGGGGATTTTCAGCCCTGTCACTAGGAAGTAGATCAGGGAGAGCTCTCCGGCAAGGCTCCCTGAGAACAAGTGAACCATCCCTGAGGAAGCTGGAGGAATTGCTTGTCTGCTGATAGCACGTGGAACTCAGCAGCAGTCACTGCTGTAGGAGGTACCTGGAGTTGGTCGCTGGCTGTGTCTTTTTTTCCCCTCGAAGATGTGGCCCCAAAGCAACCGTCTAGACCAGACCCTTCTTTCCAGACAAGGGCTGTGGGCTGCGCTTGCAGGCTGGCAGGAGAGCACCTTGCAGGGAACGCTGCATCCCAGCACCCAGCACCGTGCCTGAGTTAACACGTTGCCAGCACGCCCAGAGATGCTGCTGGAAACAGCATCGTAAACGGGGTGGGTAGGATGAGACGTGCCTCCAGCCACTCTGGCAGCTCCTTACAGAGCCTGGTTCTCGGTGTGTTGGACAAAAGGAGGAGCAGGACAGAAACTCTTGATGCTATTTGTGCCTGTGGTTTGGCTGATCCAGATGACATATTTACTATGTTATAATTGTTTGGGATTTTTTAAATTTATTTTATCTTCTTTTCAGACAGGAGTCAAGATTCTTATCGAGGCACAGCACAAGCACAGTTGCTTGTTAGAGTCAGGCAAAGTGCCTCTTGCTCCTGTAGTGCTGGGGCCAAATGCCCCTGGGCTGGTCAGATAGTTTAGCTCCCAGGTGTGAGTCATCTTCCACTGGTGGAAAAGTGGCTGCAGCTGTGTGTCCTTCTGGCCAGTCCCATTCTCCGTTCGAGTAGACCAGCTGGAATAATTCTGTTGGTGGCAGATTTCTACCACTCGAAGACTACCCATACACCAAGTAGGAGTCAAGGTCCTGGGCCACAGTCAGCACTGAGTCTTCAAAATGACCCAAGCTCTGCCTACAACGCGTAGAGGAAAGCATGAATCGGGCGTTGGGAGGCTCAGCCGTGAGTAAGCAGAAGTTGTTCAGCTTTGGCTGGTCCAAACAAAGTGTTTGTGACTAATTTTCTGCGGAGGCGTGTGGGCAGTGAGATGCAGCGGTGAGGTTCTGCTGAAGGGCAAAACGTTGCTATTTTTTGCAAGGTCTTCTCAGACTATTCCTTGGCGTGGAAGCAAGGTTACTCCCCTGCTGTCTGCAGATGGGTCCTGAGAGGGCTTCTCCTATGTTTTTTAAACATTTCTTTCCCGTAAAGGGTGACTGTTTTTTGTTTTACTTCTTCTCAAATTATATGCCTGCCAGCCTCCCTTTCCCACAACAAGGTTTGTGTGCTGAAATGCAGCTGTTTTGGGGACAGATTTGGCAGCTGCTTAACGACCTACAGAAACAGTTTTTCGTCTGTACTTCGTACCCTGGTCTCTGTCCACTTCAGGAGGAAGTCTTTGAGGCAAAATGTTATTGCCAAAGGTGGGGTGTTTCTTAGGTGAATGCTCCTAGTAATGAATAACCTCTGACCCAAGATTTTTCCAACAATCCTTATACCTGAGTGCTGAAGAATCCCTTATTTTTATTTTTTCTTATGTAAAATGTGAGGAACCTTCACACATGGAGGCTGCTGCGATGCTAAGTGCTTTTGATAATTGGGCCGTTTGTTTTAAGTGCCTGAAGAGTACTTCCACACCAAACTTCAGGTGTACGTGTTTGATGATAAAGGCCTTGAATGCTTCATTACAGACATCCATGTGATCCTTGAAAAAGCAGCAGGCTTGAGGGGGAGACAGCCTTCTTTTGTAATGTTCTTTGGTTTGCAACGTGAAAGAACAAGATGCTGCAGTTCTTGATCTATAACTTGTATGCGTCCCTCAAGAGGAGATGGCTTAAGCCTGCCAGATTCCCTGGCTGACCTGCCCTCCATCCACTGCGGTGGCTTTGGTGCAGCTATAGCCTGGCTGTAGCTGGTGGATGTGAGTAGGTTTGGGCTCACAGCACGTGCAGCAGCTCTGTGTCTTGGCTGAGCTGGAGGGCTTGGGATTAGTGAGAGCAGGTCAGGTCTCAGACCTGTCCTTCACTAACAGATCAAGCATGCCTTTGGCCTCCCTGTTCTCCCATCCCCTCCATCACACTAGGTCATGGACTTGGCACCCAGATCTCCTTGGCAAGTCTGGTGTCTGCATCCAGAGTGTTGGCTCTGATCTCACTGGTCCTAGGAGAGGGCAGGCTGGATTTGTCCAGTTTTCTCGTAATTCAGATACACTTCTGGGGAGGTGCCTGCGTTTCCTTCATTTATGTTCAGGAAAGACCTCTGAGCGACTGCACTTGTGACTCTGCAGCCAGCTGCTCTTGCTCTTTGCTGCTGCATCCCAGATGGGCACCCACCATCTTCCTTTGGTCTGACCTGTGACTGGGTTGATACGTGAGCTGCTTCTCCATTCCAGCTGGAGAGACGTGATCCAGACTGAAGCAGGGGCTCCTTATCTACTTGTCCTCTGGCCGTGCTGCTCTTGTTTTGGCCAGTTCAGCAAGTATGAGAAGAGCTACTCGATTATCCACCAGGAGACTCTTTGATTTCTCCCCTCCCTCTGGCACCCTTCTTCCCAGTTCTCCAGCTGGACTGAGACCCAGCGAATTCACTAATTGCTCCTTTCCTTCTTACCCTTCTCTTACACCAGAAGTCTGGTGGGCCCTCTGCCAGCAGACATAGTAGGCAGATGGGTACAGGAAGGAGTGGGTGCCAAGACCCAGCTCTGTCTTCACCAGCCCTGTCCCCTGTGGGAGTTCAAGCCCAAACAGATGTGGGCTGTTTGCCCTAAGAGTGTGGCTGTTTTGCAGAAGGAGAGGAGGAGTGTGGGAAACTGCCCTGTGCAGTCAGGTCCTGGGTGGGTGGTGGGCAGTCGGGGGGCTGGGGGAGCAGCTTTCTGCGTAGAAG